TGGAGCGTCATGGCGGAGCGTCATGGCGGAGCGTCATGGTGGAGCGTCATGGTCATGGCGGAGCGTCAGGTCATGGTGGAGCGTCATGGCGGAGCGTCATGGTGGAGCGTCATGGTCATGGCGGAGCGTCATGGCGGAGCGTCATGGTGGAGCGTCATGGTGAAGCGTCATGGCGGAGCGTCATGGTGGAGCGTCATGGTCATGGCGGAGCGCATGGTCATGGCGGAGCGTCATGGCGGAGCGTCATGGTGGAGCGTCATGGCGGAGCGTCATGGCGGAGCGTCATGGCGGAGCGTCATGGTGGAGCGTCATGGTCATGGCGGAGCGTCATGGTCATGGCGGAGCGTCATGGCGGAGCGTCATGGCGGAGCGTCATGGTGGAGCGTCATGGCGGAGCGTCATGGCGGAGCGTCATGGCGGAGCGTCATGGTGAAGCGTCATGGCAGAGCGTCATGGTGGAGCGTCATGGCGGAGCGTCATGGCAGAGCGTCATGGCGGAGCGTCATGGTGGAGCGTCATGGTGGGCGGAGCGTCATGGTGGAGTGCATGGCGGAGCGTCATGGCGGAGCGTCATGGTGGAGCGTCATGGCGGAGCGTCATGGTGGAGCGTCATGGCGGAGCGTCATGGCGGCTCATGGTTGCTCAGCGTGATGAACGAGGGCCGTAAAAATCCCGTATTGCTGCCAGGTCTTACTAACGTCCCCTGGTCCATTTCCCCCAGCTTTCGTTCATTTGCCCTCTATGACCTCCATGACCCCATGACCCCCAACACGAGGTCACATTTCTGTTTTCTCAAACCCAAAGCTTGACAGGTTTGGGCCAAGGTCAAAGTTCATCTATTAAACTGAGTGGAGATGAAAACCAAGAGCTGGATCATTTTCAGAAGCGTGTTGTGATTCTGCCTCTTTGTTATTCAGTTTCATATCATTTCAGATTCTTCATAACTTAGAAAACGTTTTTGTTACAGTTAGTTTTCTAAACTACAGAAAAGTTTCTGTTGGAGAAGCTCAAAAATGAAAAACGGACTGATATTTGATATGTGATCGTAACTGGTGTTACGCCAGATTTACAATATTATATATGATCAGTTTTTATCCCTTTACTTGATTAATCGTAAGAAGATCGGTAGATACTCCATTACTAAAATATTTGTTTACAGCAGCCCTCGACGCAACAGAGACAGAACAGGGGACATGTCCCTCCTGCAGCAACAGAACCAGAACGGGCCTGGATCTACAGTTTGCTGTTAAATCTTTTCTGCATCTCTGTGACATTTCTCTCCTACTGCTCTACAGCTGTGTCACCTGCAGCTTTCAGCTCATCTTGTTTCATGATTAGATGCAGTTTCTATCCGATCACTGATTTGATTTCATTATTTTTGCTTGAAATTTGACTGAAATAAAGCATGAAAGTGTCTGAGTTGGTAACATTGGGGGCAGACATGCCCTGGTGGGCGGGGCTGGCAGCACACTCTGACTATTGGACCTTTGATGATGTGACGTCACATGAAAGTATCAGCTCATCACTGATCTCCTAAAATGAAAGAAATTGCTGCTGATCAATAATCGATCCCAAGTTTATGTTTGTTGTGTCATTTCAGAGCTGCTGGTTCATCCAGACGCTCCCCCATCTGATGTCAGACTGGTTGGTTGTTTTCTGTCGACAGTGCAGAGAACGCCTGACTCAGCGGTTTGCTGGCTGTGGGTCCGGTTCGTCTGGGTTCTGGTCCTGCAGGTCGAGTCAGATCAGCGCCGGGTCACCTGGCTTGCATCACTGCCTGTGATGCCGGTCCTGATCGCTGCAGCGAGTCAGAACCATTAAACCGAACCGGCTGAAGCCGCAGTGTTTACTCTGACGCTTTATGCACATGTTGAGGTTTTGCATTAGAAATAACTTCCTCTGTTCACAAGAACAAAGTTTTGGTCGTTGAGGTGAACCAAAAAGATGTTCTGAAAAAGAAACGATGCGCAGCAGATTGCTCCATCTTTGAGACGTGCGCTACATGCTAGTCAGTTTGTTTAAAGTTCCTGATAATGGATTGAAACATAAGGTTCATAATGGAAGAGGGGCTAGTTAAAGGGGCTTAACTAGGATGAGCTTCAGCAGGGAAAGCATGTAAAGTCAGACTGGTTGGTTGATTGAGACTGATTGATCAACAATCAATCAAATTTAATTTGTACAGCACATTTCAGCTACAAGGCATTTCAAAGTGCTTTACATCATAAACAGAAATTTTGGGTTTTTTTTTCTTTTTGTCACGGAATTGAAGCGCCTGTTACCGCCGGACTCCGCCGTCCGGGTATTCGCCACAACAGGAAAAAAAATAAAAAAATAGAAAATTACATACATATCCACAAATACAAATCCATACATATTACATTTCAAAAACAATTCTAAACAGAATGTGTTTTTAATTGCGATTTAAAAGAAGTCAGGGTTTCTGCTGTTTTACAGTTTTCTGGAAGTTTGTTCCAAAGTTTTGGTGCATAGATGCTGAAAGCTGCTTCTCCTCTCTTGGTTCTGGTTCTGGATGCAGATCAGAACCAGAACCAGAACCTGAGAGTCTGGAAGGTTGATACAACAACAGCAGATCTTTGATGTATTGTGGTGCTAAACCGTTCAGTGATTTATAAACTAACAACAGTATTTTAAAATCTATTCTTTGAGCTACAGGGAGCCAGTGGAGGGACTTTAAAACTGCTGTTATGTCTCTGTCTTCCTGGTTTTAGTGAGAACAGGAGCAGCAGCTTCTGGATCAGCTGGTTCTGGATCAGCAGCTTCTGGATCAGCTGCAACTGGAGGATTGATTTGTTGGACAGGCCTGTGAAGACGCTGTTACAATAATCAATGCGACTAAAGATAAACACATGGATGAGTTTCTCTAGATCTGGCTGAGACATTAGTCCTCTAATCCTGGAGATGTTCTTCAGGTGATAGAAGGCCGACTTTGTTACTGTCTTTATGTGGCTCTAGAGGTTCAGGTCCGAGTCCATCACTACTCCCAGGTTTCAGGCTGATCGCTAGTTTTAGTTGTAATAACTGGAGCTGTGCATTGACTCTAGATCTATAGCTCTAGATCTATAACTCTAGATCTATAGCTCTAGATCTATAACTCTAGATCTATAGCTCTAGATCTATAACTCTATATCTATAGCTCTAGATCTATAACTCTAGATCTATAGCTCTAGATCTATAACTCTAGATCTATAGCTCTAGATCTATAGCTCTAGATCTAGAGCTCTAGATCTATTGCTCTACATCTATTGCTCTAGATCTATAGCTCTAGATCTATAGCTCTAGATCTATAACTCTAGATCTATAGCTCTAGATCTATAGCTCTAGATCTATAGCTCTAGATCTATAGCTCTAGATCGTTCCTCTTTAGGTTAAAAAATAATGACTTCAGTTTTGTTTTCGTTCAGCTGGAGAAAGTTTTGGCACATCCACACATTTATCTGTTCTAAGCATTTATGCAGTGATTGGATGGGGTCAAAGGTCACCTGGTGACATCATAATGTAGAGCTGTGTGTCATAGTTATGGTAGCCAATATTATTTCCTGTTATAACCTGAGCTAGTGGGAGAATATAAATATTAAATAAGAGGGGTCCTAAGATTGAACCTTGGGATACCCCACATGTGACCTTTGACCTCTTTAATGAGAAGTTTCCAATTGAAACAAAGAAATTCCTGTTCTTTAAGTAAGATTCAAACCAGTCGAGCACCGAACCGGAGAGTCCGACCCAACTCTCCAGTCGATTCAGTAATATGTCAAAAGCTGCACTGAGGTCCAACAGAACCAGCACTGTGGTTCTGCCACAGTCCGTATTTATATGGATGTCATTGAATACTTTGACTAGGCCAGTCTCCGTGCTGTGGTGAGCACGAAAACCAGATTGGAAAGAGTCAAAGCAGTTGGTCATCATGAGGAAACTATTTAATTGTTTACACAGTTTTTTCAATAAGTTTGCTGATGAATGGGAGGTCAGAGGTCGGCCTGTAATTCTGCAATAGTGATTTGTACAGGTTGTTCTTCTTTACCATTGGTTTGATAATTGCCGTTTTCAAAGCCTGGGGGAAAACACCTGATGTAAGCGATGTGTTTACGATTTGGATCAGATCAGTAGCAATAACAGGCAGGACTTTCTTAAAGAAATGTGTGGGTTACCAAAAAACTCAGCTGGCCTGTGTGCACTCGTAACACTTGTTACCAGTTTCTATTTCTAGGATGCAGGTTAATGATGCGACTAATGGTCTGGACCGTTTCCGGTTTCTCTTAACGTACAACAAAAAACCCTCTTTAGAAATTTATGTAAGTTCAGATAGTCACCAGTTGTTTTAGTTTGGATCTTTATCTAAGTTTCCCTAACTTGAAATCTACTCTAAATGTTCATGCTATATCTAATATTTCATACATCTAAAGGTTAACTATCTCTATAGTTATGCTAACTAGACTTATATTCTCAACACCCCCTAGCAAAATACTGTGCATACTTATACCCGGTTGGATAATAATCCTGTGCAGTCGTCCGTTTCTGATTCTGTCTCAAATGCTTTGCTGACTACATGTGAGGCCCAGTTCCATGGGCCTCCTAACTCGCGTGATGTTGAGGTTGAATTTGTTCTGCAGCGTCCAAGATTTTCTCATTATCCCAAGTACAAGTAAATTGACACTTCCTTTAGATTTTTATCTTTAATGTGAAATTTTTGCTTCCAGGTTTTTGCTTTGCTTAATGTCACAAGAGGTCAAAACACTTGCTGGAACACTCCTATGATGTTCATATTTGCAACCAATATTTGATGGCGAAGGTCACCTGATGTTTTAGTTGACTGATTGGTTGATTGACTGATTGATTGGTTTTTCTGGCTCATGATAAATGGGACCTTTGAAGCGTCTCAGGAAGCCGAGCCGCGCCGACGCATTGCCTCATTTCCTGGTTGCCTCTGCTGACCTAGAAAATCTGCTGCCAGGTTCGAAGCTCAGCGTTTCATCCTGAGGAGCTCCTGAAACTGGGTCGGCCCGCGGGCCTCGTCAGCCGGGTCGCTGCGGTTTAGAGGAGGATCAAACGCTCTCAGGCGGGGCGCATAAAAATGCCTGCTGTTTATACCGGCCCATCAGAACCGGGCAGGACGCCACAGACGCACATCTCGCCTGAAATCCAGCTGAGCCCTGGGAACCCAGCAGAACAGAACCGGACCAATCAGAGAAAAACAGAACCAGCATGTTTCCAGCAGCTAACGGCTCCAGAGTGACGGTGAGGAAAGTTCTGATGAGTTCTGATGATGATGGTGTGTCTCCACCTGAAGCAGACCCGGTCCATGGTTCTGATTGGGTCAGTAGGGTCCAGTCTGCCTGCGATTTATTGAACTTTATTTCTGTTTTCTTTGTCGGAAGTCTGGGCCTGGTCCGGTTTGTGAGCAGAACCGGTTCTGAAGCATTTTGTTTGATTCAAAAATACTTTAGAATGAAATGATTCCTCAGAGAGCTGCTGCAGAGGTCTGCGTCACAGCGGCTCTGAGGAAGCCTCTGACTGAAGCCGCTCCTGCATCGCCATGGAGATTTTCATCATATTTCATTATACTACTGCTAAGAGAGAACACAGAACTTAGTGTAGAGGTTCTGTGTGCTCTCTTAGCAGTAGTATAGTAAATTTAAATGGTTTTTAATATTTAACTGAATGACATGAGTACAATATGACTTGATTTCATTTTTACAGAGCTTGTTTGTTCATTGTGCATGCAGTTTTGTGGCGACTGTGTTGTGTGTTTCTTGTGCCATTGCCAAAGATAAATTTCCATTTTATGTAAGTTTAATGGACAATAAAGGAGTCTAATTACTATGGGATATGATGTCAAGATCGGGCTGCACAGTGGCACAGTGGGTAGCGCTGTTGCCTTGCAGCAAGAAAGTCCTGGGTTCGATTCCCGGCCCGGGGTTTTTCTGTACAGCGTTTGCATGTTCTCCCTGTGCATGCTGGGTTCTCTGGCTTCCTCCCACAGTCCAAAAACATGACTGTCAGGATGATTCCCAAATTCTCCTTAGGTGTGAGTGTGCATGGCTGTTTGTCTTTGTGTTGCCCTGCGACAGACTGCCGTCCTCCCAGGACGACCCGTCCTCCCAGGGCGACCTGCCAGGGCGACCCGACCTGCCAGGGCGACCTGCCAGGGCGACCTGCCAGGGCGACCCGTCCTGCCAGGGCAACCCGTCCTGCCAGGGCAACCCGTCCTGCCAGGGCAACCCGTCCTGCCAGGGCGACCCGTCCTGCCAGGGCGACCCGTCCTGCCAGGGCGACCCGTCCTGCCAGGGCGACCCGACCTGCCAGGGCGACCCGTCCTCCCAGGGCAACCCGTCCTGCCAGGGCAACCCGTCCTGCCAGGGCGACCCGTCCTGCCAGGGCGACCCGTCCTGCCAGGGCGACCCGTCCTGCCAGGGCGACCTGACCTGCCAGGGCGACCTGCCAGGGCGACCCGACCTGCCAGGGCGACCCGACCTGCCAGGGCGACCTGCCAGGGCGACCCGTCCTGCCAGGGCGACCCGTCCAGGGCGACCTGTCCAGGTGACCCCGCCTCTCGCCCGGAACGCAGCTGGAGAGGCACCAGCACCTCCCGACCCCGTTGGGGAGAAGGGTCCTCAGAAAATAGATGGATGTCAAGAACTTCCTGCTGTAACCATGGAGACGATTCATTCCCTGCTGACTGGCTAATGAAGGGCGACGCCCTCCTCCTCAGGTTGTTGGCGCCGTCGTCATGGTAATGATGTTGATGATGGCGGAGGTGGAGTCGAAGCATCCCAGGAAACGCTCCGACGGCTCAGCCGAGCAAACCGTGTCTCTGCGCCTGGACCCGGACCTGCTGCAGCCCATCAGGATCCCGCGGCCGCTGCACAACGCCTCCATCTCGCCCTGGACCTACAAGTGAGTACACGGCGCCGAGCCCGGCCGACACCGCCGAGGTTCGGTTCTGACCCGCCCGTCTCTGTCCGCAGCACGTCCCACGACGAGTCTCTGTTCCCGCCCACGCTGTCGGAGGCGCGCTGCCTGCTGAAGGGCTGCCTGGACCTGGAGGGGAAGGAAGACCAGAACTTGCAGTCCCGACCCATCTGGTACCAGGTGATGGTTCTGAAGCGGGTCAGGACGGAGGGGGCGGAGCATAGCTACCACTACCGCCTGGAGACCCGCAACGTCCCCGTGGGCTGCACCTGCGTCCGGCACATGGTCCACGTCCAGGAGTGAATCCGGGTCCAGAACCGGGTCCAGAACCAGGTCCAGAACCTCTAGTTCCGAGTCGTTGGCTTCTCTGAAGTTTTGCATCAAATTGTATAAACTGACCACTAAGTTTTGCGCCAGGAGGCGTCCCGCCTGGATGGTGCTTATTTAAGTTTATTTAATAGTTTGTGGCCTTCAGCAGATATTTATTATTATTACTGATGTATTTATTATCCTCATCAATAAAGTTCAGACACTGAATGATCCTGATTCTTTATTCTTCAGAATATATTTCTGCACATGTCCTTTAACTAGGCCGATGGATAAGAGCAGCTGCATCCATCATCAATCATCCATCATCATCCATCCATCCATCCATCATCCATCATCATCCATTCATCCATCATCCATTCATCCATCCATCATTCATCCATTCATCCATCATCCATTCATCCATCCATCATTCATCCATCCATCATCCATCATCATCCATCCATCCATCCATCATCCATTCATTCATCCATCCATCATCCATCCATCCATCATCCATCCATCATCCATCCATCCATCATCCATTCATCCATCCATCATTCATCCATTCATCCATCATCCATTCATTCATCCATCCATCATCCATCCATCCATCATCCATCCATCATCCATCCATCCATCATCCATTCATCCATCCATCATCCATTCATTCATCCATCATCCATTCATCCATCCATCATTCATCCATCCATCATCCATCCATCATCCATTCATCCATCCATTCATCCATCCATCATCCATTCATTCATCCATCATCCATCCATCATCCATTCATCCATCCATCCATCCATCCATCCATCCATCATCCATCCATCCATCCATTCATATCAGGTGTTTTCAGTTATCGTCAGACAATTTCAACAGAATCTGAAGAAATAAAAGTGGATGGCGCCGACTCTTGGGCCGGGCCGCTCTGTCTTGGTTCGTATCTCAGTCTCTCAGGTTTTTGGACCCGTCTGGACTTGTTGGTCCCGAGTTTGTCTGATTTAATCTGAATCTGGGTCAGATCTCCTTTGAACACCTCCAGGTCTGACTTTTGGGTCAACATAATCTCTCTCTATTGGGACCCGTACTGAAACCGGACCAGAACCACCTCCAGACTTTGACTCTCCATCATGTTGTTTGGGGCCCGGTTCTGGTTCTACTGGTACTTTGGTCCTGACCGCAGGAATCGGACTCTAATTCTTGGTTTGGTTCTAAAGCCGTTTGGTTTCAGTTGCACTTGCTGACAGTGACTTGGAACAAGGTGGTTCTGGTCTGACCCGAATGTCCGACGGTTCTGGTCTGTAAGCCGTATGGACCTCCATCTTTTCTCCTGCAGGTTTTCATCCTGACCAGAACAGTCCAACTGGTTCTGCTTGGTTCTGGTTCTCAAACAGAACTGGACCTGTACCGAGCCTGTGGCTCTATCAGCAGGGCTCCTGAGTTTCTGCTGTTCTCAGAGGCGCCACTAGATGTCACCAAGGAACCACTTCACAGTAAAATGTTCAAACTGTCCAGCAGGGGGCACAGTCTGACTCAGGGTATCTGAGTCCAGCTTCAGTTTCAGACAGAACCCTGCTGATCCGTTTCAGCCGGGTTGGGTTCTGGTTGGTCCAGTCAAACTCACACACGAAGACGTTGGCACCGTTGGCATGGCAACAAAGCACAGCAAAGCCACAGGAAACTGTCCAGTGATGACTGAATCTGCAGCGTTTGTTTGAAAACGAGGGTCCTGGTGGAGGAGACAAATGTCCCTCAGACCTCCATGCCCTCCACCGGTTCTGCTCCCAGTCCTCCCGGTCAGAGCAGCGCCAGTCTCCCAGCTCCTCAGTCAGCCCTCAGAATCAGCTTCTGGATAAAGTTCAGCTTGTGTTGTGATCAGGCCATCATGACACCTGAGGCAGAGAGCAGAGGGAGGCGGTGAGCGGCAACGCAACAACCAGACACACACGCATCAAGATGACTGTAGAACCGACGGCCAGAACCAGGACAAATACAACAAAACCAGTCTGACCCAGTTTGGGTTTGGGTCAGACTGGTTTGGGTCTTTTTCAATAAACACACATCAAAATGATCTCATGCTCAGGGATCCACTGAATGTGACCCAATGGCCTTGACCTGACCTTGACCCAGACTGTGATTCTGTTGTAACCATCTTCCGCCGGATATTTCTACGTCGCCTAGTGTCTCACACTCCCTGGGAACTGAAGTCCTTCCAGTCAATAAACCGTGAACTAGCAACTGATCACAACTCAATCTGACAGACTGCTGACCTCCAACTGGTGACCCTGAAAATACATCATTATTTCCCTCCATTTATTTAGTAATCGTCAAAAAATTATATTCATTTTAAGTAAAGGTCATAACAATAATTAAAAGGCTCACCATTTAGATTATTAACTAAGTTATTTTGTCTCTTCTGGCCTTCCATACCTCAGGGGGTCACATGATTCTGAAAGTCATTTCTTGACTCTCCAGTGGACTCTGACCCCGATTGGGGACCCCTGGACTAGAGTTTACCCCATCCACCTCCAGAACTCGGACCTGGTACCAGTCTGGGCCCAACTAGAATTGGTTAAAATCTATATTTTAAGTCAAAACCAGTAAATATCTAATTGGTTTCTTCTTTTTAAGAAAAAAAAAACAATTGAATTCAGTTTCTAGCTTCAGTATTGATTTGATCAGAATGAAATGCTTTAAATGGACTCAAAGATGGCCGACTTCTTCTGGAGCCCATAAACCCTGATGGTTTGGGTCAGAGGGCCTGTTTTGACTCCGCCCACCCAGAATCCATCATGGCTGCCTCCTCATCCTCATCCTCACCTCCATACTGTGCTTGTCCTGCAAGGCAGACAAATGGAAACAATTAATCAGAGACCGACGTCGGTCCGTCAATCCAAGGGTGAGGGGGACAGGGTCAGCAGGTGAGGTCAGAGGTTAAGAGGGGTCGGGTCCTCACCTCTTCCTGTGAGGAGTTCAGGTGCATCTGCAGCGGGTTGGCGTTGACGCGATGCTCCTGGCGGTCTTTGGTCAAAGCTTTCTGCGCCACTTCGCGCTCGTGCTCCCTCCTCTCAGCCAGATGCTTCAGCAGCTCCGCCTCCTGACACTAGAGAGCGCCATAGAGCATGAGCCGAGGTTTGATCACCGTGAATTTGGCCCGGCCTCCACTCACCTTCCGCCTCTCCTGCGCGGCGTCTAGCTTCTTCTGGATCTCCGCCAGCGACGGCTTCTGGCGGGGCGGCGTGGTGGCCCTCAGCTCCGGGGCCCCATCGAAGGTCGGCGGCTTCAGGATGACCTCGAAGGCCTGGCCGCTCGCGCGCTTGCTCAGCTCGATGACCTCCATGTCCCGGATGTTGCACAGGTTCAGGTCCACCACGCCTGCAGCAAAACATGACGACAAACCTGCTTTTGTTACTATATCTATATTGAAAAACATAATTTTAGCTGTTAAGAGTCCAAACTGGAAAAGCAGAAGGGAGGATGGTAATTTCGGTCATTGAAGAGAAACAAATGAGGTTTAACTTTTAAAAGGTACATATTCACCATCTTATTCCTTTAAACATAGAAGTTTAAAACTAACTATTGATCGTCAAAGCTAAATATTTACCTCGGAGCTAGTTTAATACTAAGCTAGCTCTGAACTAAGAGCTAGATTCATTTGCAACCTTGTCGTCTAACGGAAAGCAGATAAGCTGTTTCCGTTAGACGACAAGGTTATAGCAGTAAATGAGCTAGGTAAATAGTTAATTTACCTCAGAGCTATTCACCTAGCTCTGAGGTAAATATTAAGCTAACGCTGAGGTAACTGTTAAACGATGCAGGAGTGGAGCTAAATGTTTCCCTGCTGAATAATTAGTTAAATTATTGAAATATGTAGTTTCTAAATTAAATATTCAGCTCCAGCCTAAATATTTAACTTAGAGCTACACATTAACAGAACTCAAGATGCTGCTGACCTTCCTGCTTGTTGGCCGTCGGCTCCCCAGGTTGAGGCAGGATGCAGGAGCAGAAGATGGACACCAGGGGGAGCTCTCGCATCTTCTCTCTGTACGCTGGAACATGGAGGAGAACAGAGGGCAGAGTGAAGGAGATGAACCGGACCGGGCCGGACCAGACCGGGCCGGGCCAGAGAACCTGCTCACCTGTCAGGGTCATGATCCTGCTTTTCTCCGGCAAAGACACTGTGGTGAGGTAGAATCTGTTCCTGAGGACAAGACAAACGGGTCAGAACCACAACAGAACCTCCACAAGGCTCGCTGCTGCAGCAGAGACGCACAAGAGCCAGAGCCAGGTCCAAAACTTCCATAAGGCTTCCTGCTGCAGCAGAGACTCCAAAACCAGAACTCTGGATCCAAACTGGACTGCCCCTAATTAATCTAAATGTTCCTGTTTTATTTGCATCCAGCTGGGAGTCCTGTTGGTTCTGATTGGATCAGAACCTTTTCTGGTTCTTTCCTCTGAAGCTTTTTTGACTTGTCTGAGTCATTCGAACCTCCAGAAACTTCAGCGCCTTAGACATCCCAGATATTCTGGTTCTGACACGGACCGGCCAGTTCTGACTGGGACCAGTTCTGAACCTGCAGGTGAAGCTGCAGAACCAGCAGAACATCCAGAACCAAAAGGTTTCCTGCATCACTTCTTCATTGGATAAAGTGCAGCTGCAGGAAATCCTCCACATTCCCAATGACACCAGTGAAACCAGCACCAGTCAGCAGAACTGGTGCTGGTTTCACTGAAACATTTTCAGAGCAGAAAATGTGCTGATGAGAGCAATGATGTCATTGTTTTAACGCATCACCTGCAGAACGAGTTCAGAGGAAAACGACAGAAAGAACAGCAGAGAATGAGAGAAGAAGAACGAGAGGAAAGAGAGAAAGCAAGAAAGAAAGGAAGGAAGGAAGAAAGATTTGTTGTGAGATACTGACCTGCAGCCTCGCCGCTCTGCTCTCTGCTCTGCTCTGCAGCTCAGCAGCATCAGTTCCACAGCAGCTGCATGACATCACCATGCAGCGCTCTGATTGGACGGCTGAAATGCTGTGTTGGGATTGGTCCAGAGCGGCAGAGGGAGGAGGAGGAGGATGATGTGTGGGTTCATCTTCATCACTAAAGGAAACTCTTCATCAGAAACTGGAAACTGAGGAGAAAAGTTCTGGATGGATTAAACAGAATCTGGAACCAGAACCAGATGTTTGGTCATGATGATGATTATCACAGCTTTAAATGGATCGGGTCAGGTTCAGAACCAGCAGCTGATCTGAACTTCAGCAGCTGCTCAGGTTCTGGTTTGGTCCAGAACCAGTTATGGATACAACAGAACTTTATAGACATAACGTTCCTCTAAAACCCGACCCAAACCAGTAAACTGGTTCTGACTGGGTTTAGATCCGAGCTGAGAAATGAGGGGAACATGAGGTTCTGATCCATTATGGTTCTGACCTGTTCTAGTTCTGATCCAGTATTCTGGCTTCTGAGTAAATGTCAGCGCTAAAATTAAAGCTGAGAATGAAGCGTTACTCGCACACAGTCACACACACACAGTCACACACACACAGTCACACACACACAGTCACACACACACAGTCACACACACAGTCACACACACAGTCACACACACACAGTCACACACACACAGTCACACACACACAGTCACACACACACAGTCACACACACACAGTCACACACACACACAGTCACACACACACACACACAGTCACACACACACAGTCACACACAGTCACACACACACAGTCACACACACACAGTCACACACACACACACACAGTCACACACACACAGTCACACACACACAGTCACACACACACACAGTCACACACACACAGTCACACACACACAGTCACACACACACAGTCACACACACACACAGTCACACACACACACACACACAGTCACACACAGTCACACACACACAGTCACACACACACAGTCACACAGTCACACACACACACAGTCACACACACACACACAGTCACACACACACAGTCACACACACACAGTCACACACACACACACAGTCACACACACACACACACAGTCACACACACACACAGTCACACACCACACACACACAGTCACACACACAGTCACACACACACACAGTCACACACACACAGTCACACACACACACACACACACAGTCACACACAGTCACACACACACAGTCACACACACACACACAGTCACACACACACACACACAGTCACACACACAGTCACACACACACAGTCACACACACACACAGTCACACACACACACACACAGTCACACACACACACAGTCACACACACACACACACAGTCACACACACACAGTCACACACAGTCACACACACACAGTCACACACACACAGTCACACACACACAGTCACACACACACACAGTCACACACACACAGTCACACACACAGTCACACACACACACAGTCACACACACACAGTCTGATTCTGACCCAGGAGCTTCCCGGCATCCCGCCGGTGGACTCCTCGCCGTCCATGAGGTCTGATGCGTTCTGTTCAGACCGATAGTCTTGTCGGTTGGACACCGGCTCTTAAACGGTCGATGGCTTTATGACCTCTGACATAATGTGACGTTTTGGGGCCTTTTGTTGTCCAGCTGTTGTTCATTTTGTCTGATCACCCAGTGGAGATGACCCACAATGCACTGAGTAAATGACTCACTGACAGGAAGATGAATTAAATATTGTACAACAGATCAAGATACATTTTACTTTAGTACAATAAAATGTCACCAAATGTTAAGTTACAGTTGTTGCCTCCACACGACAACAATATCTGACATATTTTTCTTCAGTGTGGCTAACAAAAATGCTATTGTTTTTTCCAAAGTTACCATAAACCAAATTGTTGTTCATTTCTGTACAGAAGTTTGATCACTGTTGCTTTTCATAAATTAAGATACATTTTTATTGTTTCAACAGAAATGGAGACATCAGAGAAAATATGGACGGATAACACAGATCAGTCTCATTCACACAGATTCCTCATGTTGGTGTTTATTTCTATGGTTGTTCTGTTACTGTCTCATTTCCATTTATAATCAGCATTCAGTGAAGGTGTTTCTGTCATGACCTTTGACCTCTAAACCTCTGACAGAATTCCATTGGGTTGGAGAGCTGCTTATCAACCCTGATGGACTGCAGCTCCCATGATGCATTGCAGCAGCTGGCCATGATGTAGTGGAGCTGAGTGAGGACCAGCAACAATGAGGTCACCTCGAGCCAATCAGCAGAGAGCATACCGAGCCCCGCCCCCTGTGAGTGAGCCGACAGCGAATGAGGTTCAGGATGCAGCATCAACACACACACACACACACACACACATATCGGTGCTCCTGCTGCAGAACGGGAGGTTCTGGTTCTGACTCAACATCAGAACATCTGGGACAGATGACATCATCTCTGTTGGTGAGATGATGTCATCGAGTATGAGGTCACCTCTCTGCTCTGAGCGGTGATGTCACTGGTTCTGGAGGTTCAGTCCTCATCACCGGGATCAGAACCAGGCAGCAGACCGGTTCTGATCCGGTTCAGAACCATGCAGCAGACCGGTTCTGATCCGGTTCAGAACCAAAACAAGGCAGCAGACCGGTTCTGATCCGGTTCAGAACCAGTTCAGAACCAGAACCATGTAGCAGACCGGTTCTGATCCGGTTCAGAACCAGAACCATGCAGCAGACCGTTTCTGATCTGGTTCAGAACCAGAACCATGCAGCAGCTCCGACTGGTTCCGTGGTTCTGTTCGTGTCGTGACGCTCCGTGGTTCTGGTCGTGTCCGCGGCCCGCTGAGCGGAGGCCGCCGCCGGCCGCGTGGGCTGAAGGCAGCCGGTGACTCACTCTCCTTCCACGGATGAAACCTCCCACAGCGCCTCCACGGCGCCCCTGCTGGTCACCGCGCGGCGCTGCAGCTGCACATGCTCACCTGGCTGCAGGTACCGTTTCTGCTCACATTTTATGTTTATTAATGCAATTACTAATTTCAACACTGATTAATTCCAATCAATCAAATACTTTATTGATTTGAATTAATAAATTCAAATCACTGGAAGTTCTGGTTAAACTGGTTCTGGTTAAACTGGTTCTGGTTAAACTGGTTCTTCAGTGTGCAGTCTGACTTGTTCTCTCAGGATTTGACGAGGCTTAATGCTTGTGATGTTCCTGCAGGAGTAGGCCCACGGTTCTGATCCAGAACCTTCCATTCATGCTGGGATTACATCCCAAATTATGTAATAAATAAATTACATAATCAACTAAATGTATCATTTTGGGATTTTTGACTATTCAGTTGTTCTTTTATTTCCTTTTTGTGCAGAACTGTTAAGAAGCAGAGGTCTTCCATGTGGAGGACATTTTAGTCTTTCAAAACAGATTAACTTAAAATCATGTATTTCAGTCAGAAATGAACTGAACATACAGATATAAAACATAATATCTGTATGTTATATTAAATGTTAAGTTTGTGATGGTGATCTGATCAGGGCATCACTTTTTATTTAAACTTGTTTTATGTAGTAATAGGCCTTGTTTATTGTGAAATATCATACAGAAGAATAAATGCAGGGCAGGTTGGGCGTCCAGAACGACGGATTCCTGTTGGAAACGTTTAAAACATGAAATAAATTACAACATAGTAGTGATATTTTCAGAAAAGCATTTTTAATGCAGCAAAATATGCAGTGAAGGAGCATCAACACAGTGAGGCTGATTTCAGAACCGCCCGAGAGTCAGTGCTGGATGCAGAACACTAACCCACGAGCACCGGAGGTACTGGTTAAACTGGTTCTGGTTAAACTGGTTCTGGTTAAACTGGTACTGGTTAAACTGGTTCTGGTTAAACTGGTTCTGGTTAAACTGGTACTGGTTAAACTGGTTCTGGTTAAACTGGTTCTGGTTAAACTGGTTCTTCAGTGTGCAGTCTGACTTGTTCTCTCAGGATTTGACGAGGCTTAATGCTTGTGATGTTCCTGCAGGAGTGGGCCCACGGTTCTGATCCAGAACCTTCCATTCATGCTGAAGCTCTGAATGAAAGCAGCCGGTCCGCCCACGGCCATCTGCCGTGCCGCTGGGGCCCACGCGCCGGGCTGAGATCCGGCAGCATGGCGGAGGCGAGCCGCTGACTCACTGCACTCAGCACACATAACGCGCACGCAGCGCGCGCGCACGCCCCCACGCTGCGCAGCTGCCAGCACGAAGAGAAGAAGTTCAGACTGCAGAAACATCCTGCCAGGAGTCGAGAGTTTTCTGTCTTCAGTCGGATCGCCCACAGGAACACGGTGTCAAAACTTTTTACAATAAGGGACTAAATCAGAAAAGCATGTGGCCCACAAGGGAAGTATTTTTAAAAACTTTATCCCTTTTATGTTTTATGTCCTCAATAATTAACTCAAAATATTACAATGTTATTGAAATTTTATGGAGACAGAGCAGAACATTGCAGCCCACAGTTCCTGCGTTTAGTTTTAATTTGAGATGCAAGATTTGCTTTTCAGTAAAATCAAGACAATAATTATGGTTCTAGTCACTAAAATTAATATGTCTGCAATTAATAAACGGGAATCGAGTGTTTTTTTAAAAAGCCATTTTCGATGAACGTATCTGTGTGAATCAAGCAGCTGGATGATCTGTTGCGTTCGAAAACTTAAAATGTTTAACGTGGCAAATTTACAGCATTTATTAAAAATATTCTGGGGAACCTGCAGCTGAGACCAGACTGCTGTTTTCTCCTTGGAATCTCAGAAAGTGTGTGTGTGCGTGCGTGTGTGTGCGTGTGTGTGCGTGTGTGTTGGCTCCATTTATAAAACACTGTGTCGGACACAGGCTGCAGCTCTGTGCTTTATTTCAGTCAATTCACAAAGTTCTGGTATAAAAATAAAACTTGTTTTCCTCTCAGTGACGAAGCAGCCAATAAGCTGCTCCAAATCCATCCATGTCATTGGTCAGGGC